CATAAGATAGAATAACCAAAAAACCTTTTAAGTTTTTATATATGAAATACCAATTAAAAAAAAAAGAGACTCAAATCAGTAACCATAGCAGAAATCTTTTATACATTTTAGACAATTAACAAGAACTAAGAAAAATTGACAAGGCAGAAGAGGTTAGGCTTGGTGTACTGAAAGGTGAAGAAATAAGTTTTTTTATACAGCCTTCTCAGTGCTAAGTTTCTGTCTCTGATGACAGAAATTTGGTCTACCCTTTTGGTGCGTGGAGGTAACCTATCTCTTGGGAGATTCATCTCCTGCTTTCAGAGGGACAAAGGAGGTTCACAGTGCCCTGGGAAGGGACCAACATTCTGCCACCCTGAAGCTATCCTTTTGAGATATTGATTTTAAATTGTGTATTAAGAAACATCAGACTCAATAAAACTTTGACACTCCCTCTTTTAAAAAAATGTTTTATTTTTTATTTTATTTTTTTTTAGAGAGAGAGGAAGGGAGAGGGAGAGATTGAAACATAGATGAAGCCCTGACCGGTTTTGCTCAGTGGATAGAGCGTCGGCCTGCAGACTCTATGAAACATAGATGAGAGAGAAACATCAACATCTATTGGCTGCCTTCTGCATGCCTCCTGCTGGGGATCGAGCCCCAAACGCCCCGACATGTGCCCTCACTGGGAATCAATCTGTGTTATCTTGGTGCATAGATTGAGGCTCAACCACTGAACCACACCACCCAGGCTCTCCCTCTTTTTCCCCCCAAGAGATTCGGACAAAGAAACCTGTTTCAGAAAGGAGATCCTGGGATGATGTTTTAGCATAATTTGCATTCAGTATGGTAAACAAGAGGGCTTTAGGCAGGAACCTGTTAGCTAGATACCCATGTGTCCCAGTTTCTGCGCTGTCAAACAAGGATTTTTTTTTTTTTTTAGGGTCAGAACTTTTTGTTTTGATCTTCATTTTTTAAAAATATATTTAATTGATTTTTTACAGAGAGGAAGGGAGAGGGATAGAGAGTTTGAAACATCGATCAGCTGCCTCCTGCACACTCCCTACTGGGGATGTGCCTGCAACTAAGGTACATGCCCTTGACTGGAATCAAACCTGGCACCCTTCAGTCCGCAGGCCGACGCTCTATCCACTGAGCCAAACAAGTTAGGGCACCTAGCAAGGATTTTCCTGCTCTTTGTGTTCTGTTCTTTCTCAACCACCTGAAAATTGTCCGTTCTCACTTCTGAAATCCAATACCTTATTTCCCCTTCTCCTTTTTCCAAAGAAATGCCTTATACACCTAATATTGCCCCACTGTCTTTAGGATTTCCATGCCTATATGAATTCCCCATGTACATGCATTAAACTTTGATTTTCTCCTGTTCGTCTGTCTCTGTTAGATTATTAGCCCAGTCTAGAAGAACTTTGAAAATGGGAGGAAAAGGTATTAATAATTTTTTAATTAAATCTTTATTGTTCAGATTAGTTGTTCCTCTTTCCCCCCACCATAGCTCTCCTCCACCCTGTTCCCACCCCACCCTCTGCCCTTACCCCTCCCACTGTCCTCATCCATAGGTGTACGATTTTTGTCCAGTCTCTTCCTGCACCCCCACACCCCTTTCCCCCCAAGAATTGTCAGTCCACACCCTTTCCATGCCCCTGGTTCTATTATATTCACCAGTTTACTCTGTTCGTCAGATTTTTTATTCACTTGATTTTTAGAGTCACTTGTTGATAGATATATATTTGCTGTTCATACCTTTCAGCATTTCATATAATGCTGGTTTGGTGGTGATGAACTCCTTTAGCTTTTTCTTATCTGTGAAGCTCTTTATCTGACCTTCAATTCTGAATGATAGCTTTGCTGGATAAAGTAATCTTGGTTGTAGGTTCTTGCAATTCATCACTTTGAATATTTCTTGCCACTGTCTTCTGGCCTGCATAGTTTCTGTTGAGAAATCAGCTGACATTCGTATGGGTACTCCCTTGTAGGTAACTGACTTTCTTTCTCTTGCTGCTTTTAAGATTCTCTGTCTTTTGCACTCGGCATTTTAATTATGATGTGTCTTGGTGTGGTCCTCTTTGGATTCCTTTTGTTTGGGGTTCTCTGCGCTTCCTGGACTTGTAAGTCTATTTCTTTCACCAGGTAGGGGAATTTTTCTGTCATTATTTCTTCAAATAGGTTTTCAATATCTTGCCCTCTCCCTTCTTCTGGCACCCCTATAATTCGGATGTTGGTACACTTGAAGTTGTCCCAAAGGCTCCTTACACTATCTTCATATTTTTGGATTCTTTTTGCTTTTTGCTTTTCCAGTTGGGTATTTTTTGTTTCTTTGTATTTCAAATCTTTGACTTGATTCTTGGGATCCTCTTGTCTGCTGTTGGATCTCTGTATATTATTCTTTATTTCAGTCACTGTATGCTTAATTTCCAGTTGGTCTTTTTTCATATCCTCCAGGGTCTCACTAAATTTATTGGCGGTTTCCAGAAAATTCTTGAAAAACCTTATAAACGTGGTTTTGAACTCTATATCCAGTCATTTGCTTTCCTCCATTTCTGTCATTTGTGACCTGTTTCTTTGTCTCCGCATTTTTTATGCTTCCCTGTGTTGATAGAGTGGCTTTGTGTGCTAGGTGTCCTATAGGGCCCAGTGGCTCAGCCTCCCCTGTTACCTGAGGTGGGCACTCTTGTTGCACCCCTCTGTGGGCTTTGTGCACAGTCTTGTAGTTAAGCCTTGATTGTTGTAGTTATCACTGGGAGGAATTGACCTCCAGGCCAATTGGCTGTGAGAATCAGCTGTGTCTGCAGTGGGAGAACTTCTGTGCTGAAGACACCTTTCTGGGGCAAGACTTGCTTCAGTGGGGCTTTGGTGCTCACTGAGTCTGCCCCCTGAGTGTGTCCCTTATGGATCTGAGGAGTTGTAATCTGGATGGTCCCAATCTGACCACTGAGTACATAGGCTCTTGGATCTAAGGAGGTGCTAATTTAGTCTCTGCCTGAGGCTACCCAGCAGGAGCTACAAAGAGATCTGCAGATTCCCCTTCCTTTTTTGGGGGTTTGGAGGTGCCCAGATGAGGCCCAGCTGTGAAGCAATGCAAGCTGCTGTGGGGCCTTGGGCTTTCTCTTGGAAGTTCTGGGTCTGTCTGGCCCAGCTGCAATTTGTTAGGTAATTTTCAGATTGCAAAGGGTCAGGGCATTCATATGCAAAAGCCTCTGCCACAGCCTGGGTGGGGCAGGATCTCAGGGATCTCAGGGCAGCGCAAGCAGCTATGGCTGATCCTCAGCCCTGCCCTAAGGGGCCCCACGTGTCAGTGTCCCGGTAATTGCTGCAAGCACCTCTGAGGGAAAGCCGCCCTCAAGTTCTGAGTTCTGCCCGCTGCCAGACAGTCCAGTTTCTCCCCGTATGAGTCCTGGGTCCCCAGAGACTTCCTGGAACTGGAGTTCAGAGCAGTCGGGAGCTTGTGACTCCCTCCCAATTCAAAAAGACAGCCTCGTCCTCAGGTGCCAGCCCCTTTCCGTGCGCGCTCAAGCCTCCTTACCTCTGCACTTTACTTTCGCAGCTCCTCTGAGTCTCAGTGTGCTTTTCTCTTTCCTTCTAGTTGTGAATTTCCACTCAGCCAGTCTTCCTGTAGTTCTGGATGATGTCCGTTTTGTCTTTTCGTTGTATTTTTGAAGTTGTTGTGGGAGGCAGCAATTTCTGGTGTTTACCTATGCCGCCATCTTGGTTTCCCCCAGATTATAGTTGTTTTGAAGATACTCTTGACTAGAAGAGAAAAAAATCCAAATAAATGAGCTGGGAAATGGTGCCCTATGTTAAAGCCCCTGTGTATCATTCTATTGCCATACTAGAGGCCTGGTGTACGACATTTGTGAATTTGGGTGTCGGGGCTGGGGTCTCTTCTCCATGTCCCGCATGGAGAGAGAGACGTGAACCAGTTTGTATAAATTAGGAGGCACTTTTGGGATTAAAGAAAAATGAACAGGACAGACACAAAATTAGATTAAAAGTTTGGGCTGGGTGTGGCATCTGCCCTTTCATAGAGGGACAGACAGAGAGAGCCAGCACTGGAAGGAGTTTATTATATACTCGAATTACAGGAAGTTACATCACATCTGGGTGGGCCTTGAGTTCCTGGCGACATCATCAGATCCATCCCCTTAACACTGGGTGGGAAAGTCAGACTGAGTGGTGTCCAATCTCTTGACTGGGTCCGCCCTCAGGGCATGGCTATGCCTTCGCTCTGAGTTTCGGCTAACATAATTAAACCGAGTGTTCTTTCCCAGCGGCCCTTAACATTGAGGGTGGGGGGTGGGAAGGGGGTCTCTCAGCCCGGCCTGTGCCCTCTTACAGTCTGGGATCCCTTGGGGGATGTCCACCTGCCTGCTTAAGCCTGTTCCCTGGAGGCGGGGGAGGCTCCGGCCACTGCTGCTGGCCTCTCCAGCTGTGAACCTAGCCTCTGGCTGAGCAGTGTTCCCATTGTGGGAGTGCACTGACCACCAGGGGGCAGCTCTTGCATTGAGAATATGCCCCCTGGTGGTCAGTGCACGTCATAGAGACCAGTCATTCCGTCGTTCGGTCAATTTGCATATTAGGGTTTTATTATATAGGATTATATAGGATATGATGGCTCCACAATCTAATGCCTATTTTGCTTATGCCTTCCATACTTATGCAAGTGAGGCTACTGGTACAGTCTAATATGGAATCTCAGAGACTATAAATCCTGGAAAATCTAATTCCTAACATTACCTACAAAGGGATATTCCAAACATAGATTTTGGGTCATATCACAGGTCTCTCCTCTTAAACCAAAATATATCTAACATGCCAGTCAGGAAAAAAAGCACAACATCAAATAACAAAGTAACAATTCACATGGAAATATATTCTTCATAAAATTGACACACATAAATATTTACTCCCACTGTTTATTGCTAAGAAACATGAGGAAAAAGCTCTTATACTCATTACCTCCTCCCCTCCCACCCCCCCCCATCAAAAAAAAGCACTGTCAGTAATAAAGGGATATATGCGATATACATATATACACACATATACATAAAGGGATATATAAGATATATACATATAGATATTAAATTTCACAAGGCCAGTAAAAAATCCAAATACCAAAATAAAAAAAATATTGAATTGTAATTTTTTAATGCCATCTGAACAAAAAATAAATAAAACATCATTTAAAAAATAAACTATTTCCATATTAGAAATACATTAGAATTCACACACTTTGGATCTAACAGGCTTCAAAAAGTCAATAGATAATATTACTGACTTAATAAAAAGTCACCAGTTACTAATATGTAATATTGTAGAAAGTTATGTCCCAGAATTATTTCATTGTAATATTCATTTCTAAAAGAAATTACAGTTGACCCTTGAACAACACAGGCTTGAACTGCAAGGATCCACTTTTTAGCAGCAGTTCAAACACTTGTTTTTAAAGGATGAACTGCCATTTCAATTTGTGGTTGGGAAACCCATGGAGGACTGGCTTAAGTTCTACAAGGGTTTTGGAGTATGTGGGCAGTTGGTGCCCTTAATCCCTGAGTTGTTTAAGGATCAACAGTATTAGAAAATCACATCCTAATAACACATTTAAAGAAACTTGGTAAACAAAAATATTTATAATTTTCAAAACAACTCTTTAACCTTGAACATTTTCCAGAACATTATACAAACATTAATTTCCATCAGCCTTACCAGGTTATTTACATTTCTATTCCTTTCAGTGAGCGATTTCAAATATAAAGTGTGGGCCCAGCCCAGCCAGCATAGCTCAGTGCTTGAGCATCAACCTATGAACCAGAAGGTCACAGTTTGATTCCCGGTCAGGACATATGCCCGGATTGCATGCTGGACCCCCCAGTGTGGGGCATGCAGGAGGCAGCCAATCAATGATTCTCTCCCATCATTGATGTTTCTGTCTCTCTCCCTTCCTCTCTGAAATCAATAGAAATACATTTTTAAAAAATATAGACCAATGAAACCTTTCTCACACTCTACATTCATGAGGTTTTATCCAGTGAGTCCTCTAATGCCTCCAGAAAGAAAACGAATAACTGGTCTTTTCCACACTATTTACATTCACTAGGTTTTATTCGTGAATCCTCTTATGCCTTCGTAAGGATGAGCCATCAACGAAGGCTTTCCCACATTCTTCACATTTATACGGTTTGTTTCCATTGTGCCTTTTCACGTGTAATTGAAGGTTTTTGTTACAATTGAAGGCTTTTCTACATTCTTTACATTTAAAGGGTTTCTCTCCAGTATGATTTCTTTCATGTGTTTGTAAGTTACTGTGATCTTTATAGGTTTTACCACATTGTTTACATTCATAGGGTTTCTCGCCAGTGTGAGTTCTTTCATGTCTTTGTAACAAACTAAGGCAAGTGAATGCTTTCCCACAATCCTTACATTGGTAAGGTGTATTTCCAGTGTGCATTTTCATGTGTCCTTTAAGGGAGCTGGGATAGCTATAGGCTTTCCCACAGTGTTTACATTCATAGGACTTCTCTCCAGTGTGAAACTTCTTATGTATTTCTAAGGAGCTGTAGTATCTGAATGTTCTTCCACATTCCTTACATTCATAGGGTTTTTCTCCTGTGTGAGTCATTTTGTGTGGTTCTAAGGATCTGAAATACTTGAAGGACTTTCCACATATCCTACATTCATATGGTTTCTCTTCAGTGTGAGTTCTCTCATGTCTTCGGAGACAACTAGGATACATGAATGCTTTGCTACATTTTTCACATTGATAGGTCTTCTCTCCAGTGTGGTACCTTTCATGATTTCGATAGGACCTGATAAGAGTGAATACTTTCCCACATTCCTTACATTGATACGGAGTATTTCCTGTGTGCATTTTCATGTGTCCTTTAAGGGAGCTGTGATAACTAAAAGCTTTACCACAGTGTTTACATTCATAGGACTTCTCTCCAGTGTGAAACCTTTTGTGTATTTCTAAGGAACTGTAATGTCTGAATGCTCTTCCGCATTCCTTACATTTATAGGGTTTTTCTGCTGTGTGAGTCATTCTGTGTGGTTCTAAGGATTTGAAATATTTGAAGGCCTTTCCACATATCCTACACTCATATGGTTTCTCTGCACTGTGAGTTCTTTCATGTACGTGAAGTTGGCTGGGATGCCTGAATGTTTTACTACATTTTTCACATTGATAGGCCTTCTCTCCAGAGTGGGTTCTCTCACCTGTCTGAAGAGAAGTTGAAGAACTAAAGGTTTTCGTACACACCTTACCATTATAAGGAGCATCTGCACTATGTTTGGTCATGTGTTTCTGAAGAATTTTGAGCCACATAAAGGTTTTCCCACATTCCTTACACTTATAGGGTTTCTCTCCATAGTGAGTTCTTTCATGATTTTCAAAGCACTGAAGATAACTAAAGGCTTTCCCACATACAATACATTTATATGGCTTCACTCCAAATCTCTGATACTCAGAGAAGTTTTGTCCATTGTGACAGCTGGTGTGACTACTATGGGATGAATGATCTGTGAAGGCTTTGTCAAATATTCTGCATTCACACCGTGTTCCTCCAGGAAGAGATTTCTTCTTCAGACTGAAATCAGGAATAAGGCTGATGTTTTCTCCACACTGACTAACCATTTTCCCTTCACAGGTTCTCTCCAACATACGACTTCTGTAAAAAACAAGAAACACATCATGAATGATTTTTTATTAGAGACTTTGTATTGATCAGTAAAATGTTTAAAGTATATTAGTATGATTTACACTGAAAGTGTAGGTTTTATGTTTTATGTTTATATAAAATTTAATATACTGAAGGCTCTGCAAGACAAGTTTAGCCTTGCTATTAATAAAACAGTGATATTCATATACAGGGTTTAATAATGCTGTTTCCTAATCTGTTTTGCAAACACTGATCATTTATATAATATACTAGAGGCCCAGTGCACAAAAATTTGTGCACTCGGGGGGAGGGGGGTCTCTCAGCCCAGCCTGTGCCCTCTCACAGTCTGGGACCCCTCGGGAGATAACGACCTGCTGGCTTAGGCCTGCTCCCGGGTGGCAGAGGGCAGGCCCAATCCCTAGGTGCAGCCCCTGGTTGGGCTCAGAGCAGGGCCGATTGGGGAGTTGGGGCGCCGCCCCCTGTCATGCACAGAGCAGGGCAGATTGGGAGGTTGTGATGCCACCCTCAGTCACGCTCAGGGTAGGGCCGATTGGGGGGTTGGAGCACCACCCCGTCACACTCAAGGCAGGGTCGATGGGGAGGTTGCGGCGCCACCCTCTGTCACGCACAGAGCAGGGAAATCAGAGGGTTGGGGCGCTGCCCCCTGTCACTCACAGAGCAGGGTCAATCAGGGGGGTTGGGGCACTGCCCACTGTCACACACAGAGCAGGGCCCATCAAGGGGGTTGGGACTCCATACCCTGTCACGCACAGAGCAGGGCCCATCAGGGGGTTGGGGCGCTGCCCCGTCACGCACAGAGCAGGGCCTATCAGGGGGGTTGGGGCTCCGTACCGTGTCACGCACAGAGCAGGGCCCATCAGGGGGTTGGGGAGCTCCCCCTGTTAAGCACAGAGCAGGGCCGATCAGGGGGTTTGGGCGCTGCCCCCTATCAGGCACAGAGCAGGGCTGATCAGGGGGTTGGGGCACCTTCCCCTGTCACGAACAGAGCAGGGCAGATAGGGAGGTTGCGGCCCCGCACCCTGTCACACAGAACCGCAGGGCAATCAGGGGGTTTGGGCGCTGCCCCGTCACACTAATCCCGGTGCTGGGAGGCATATTACCCTTTTACTATATAGGATAGAGGCCTGGTGCACGGGTGGGGGCTGGCTGGTTTGCCCTGAAGGGTGTCCTGGATCAGGGTGGGGGTCTCCACTGGGGTGCCTGGACAGTCTGGGTGAGGGGATGATGGCTGTTTGCAGCTGGTCACACACCCTTTAGGGTGGGTGTCCCCACTGGGGCGCCTGGCCAGTCTGGGTGAGGGGCTGAGGGCTGTTTTCAGGCTGGCGGGTGACTGAAGCTCCCAACCGCTCCTTTTTTTCTTTTTTTTTAATTCTGGGCCAGCTTTAGCTTTGAAGCTTGGCTCCAGCTCTTAGGCCTCCTCTGCTGAAAGCAGGTTTCTGGCCTTTGTTTACCTTCTGTATTTGAAACAATGTTGCGATCCTGCTGGCTGAAGCCCGGCGGACTACAGCAGGTTTCTGGGGTTTTGTTTCGCTTCTATATTTGTAACATAGTTGCTTAGAGTTGCAGCTCAGAGGCCGGCAGCGGCAGGTGGGGAACGTTGGAGTCCTCTGTCACTGAAGCAAGCAAGCCTCATGTTCACTTTAAGCTGCCTGGCTGCTGGCCGCCATCTTGGCTGGCAGTTAATTTGCATATCGCCCTGATTAGCCAATGGGAAGGGTAGCGGTCATATGCTAATTACCATGTTTCTCTTTTATTAGATAGGATAAGAAAGCAATTTGGTGAACATCTCTTAAGATGTAATATATTTAAAGAAGCTGTTGCTTTGGTTGCTTCTTTTTAAAATTTCAATGGTTTTTTTCACATGAGACACTGCTTTCTCTTGTGTGACTCACCTTTGTTTTCTCTTCTGGTTTTTGTACTGATCTTCCTTGTCAAGATCTTCCCATTTGCTACCTAAAGAAGCAGACCCAGAAAAATAATTCCAAAGTATTAGAAGTTATTTAAAAATTAGTACATTCTATTTCTATGATGAGCTGTAACTATTTGTCAATGTCATTCCTTCCCAAATGATACATCTTAGAAAATGCTGATGGGTAAAAAACACTTGTGCCTGGCTGGCGTGGCTCAGTGGTTGAGCATCAACCTATGAACCAGGAGGTCACGGTTTGATTCCTGGTCAGGGCACATGCCGTGTTGCGGGCTCGATCCCCAGTGTAGGGCCTGCAGGAGACAGCCAATCAATGATTCTCCCTCTCATCATTGATGTTTCTCTTTCTCCCTCTCCCTTCCTCTGAAAAAACAAAGAAACTTGTGCTCTAATTTGAGCAAGTGAAGGGAATTCATCATCCTTACCTATGGAGGCCAGGTTCCGGAAGGTTTCCCTCATCACATCTCTGTAGAGTTTCTTCTGTGAAGACTCCAGTAAAGCCCACTCCTCCAGACTGAAGTTCACAGCCACATCCTCAAAGGATACTGAGTCCTAAAACAATCCATATATGTACAGAGTAAAGTTTGTGAAGTTGACAGCCTGAAAATCTACAATCCATTTATAAGAAGGTTACATATGATTCTATCAGCTCCAATAATTTATTTTATGACTTGATCAAAGAAACGTACTTTCCACACTTCCTCATAAATTTAACACCATCATGAACACATGGAAATTGCTTACACATTTTTACTATGAATACGTCACATCATTATTTCTCTAATAACAAGGTACAGAGCATGTTGAGAAATGACAAAAGTCTATACAAGTGAAACAAACATTATTATTTTAATAACATCAATGCCTTGTAAGAAAAATCGATTCAGCTCCTTTCTTTTTTTTTTAATATTTTATTGATTTTTTACAGAGAGGAAGGGAGAGGGATAGAGAATTAGAAACATCGATCAGCTGCCTCCTGCACACCCCCTACTGGAGATGTGCCTGCAACCAAGGTACACGCCTTTGACCGGAATCGAACCTGGGACCCTTCAGTCCACAGGCCGACGATCTATCCACTGAGCCAAACCGGTCAGGGCTCAGGGCTCAGCTCCTTTCTTATTATTCCCAATTGACAGCACTCCTAAGTCCGAATGTCAAATCCGCATTCGATGAATAAAATGTATTAAAGAACTAGAAGCTTTCCTATCGCCAAACATAGAATACATGTGATCCTTGGGAATCCAAGTTTTATCAAGGTACAGCAGGCCATACCTTACTAAAGTCCCCCAGGACATTACAAATAATCAGATGTAATGAAAACATTCTATGGAGAAGCAGGGCCTTTTCCTTGTGTGGTATTTACCACAGTTTTAGCTCTTAGTTTCTCTCTCGGTATGAATTGATGAGCTAAAATGGTAGTAACAACAAGGACACACCCAGATATGCGTTGTTAAGTGAATTTGGCATTGTAGAAACATTATACACGAACTTCGCTGGTATGCATAGCCTACCACACACCTAGGCTACATGGTATAGATTGCTTGTTACTGTTTTGAATGCTGTAGGCAATTGTAACACAAGATATCTAGGCAATGCCTAGCCTTCTGTCAATTCTTACTTCCCCCGTTGAATAAAGGAGCATGATAACTCAACCCTTGGGCATAGAAATCCCTCAGCTGATGAAACCACACACTGCCAACAGGGTATGAAAGGGCTATGACTTTCATAATTGGGGTCTTTAGGGAAAGTAAGGCACCTCTCTCAAGCAGGCATGAAACAGCTTGAGAGAGCATGAGAAGGTGCGTGGACTTGTTTTACTGAGTTTAGAAAGGGAACTAAGGTGAGAGTTCATACACAAGGGTGGAGCTAGCGTGTAGTCAACTTCTTGCTACCCTAAAGGACAAAGTACGAAGGCTCTCCTGTAGCATCAGAGAGATGTAAAGACATGGGGGAAATAAATCATGAAGTATTAAAGCGGTCAGCAGTTAATCATCAGTGATTAATCATCAGTGATTGAAGTCAGAGACTTCAAGTTTCTGATCTGGAATTTAAGTAACTTAGAGGATGTCATTCTCTCAGTCTCAGGGAAAAAAGCACAAAAACTGGAAATCATCTTCTATTCTTAGATCCATAAGATAATTTTGGTACCAGGGCAATCTGGTGATTCCAGAATTTGGAAAGAGAAAATGAACCCAGTATTTTGAAATATGGCCCAAATATTTTGTTCTAAACACAACCAGTACTTTAAAAACAAACAAACAAAAACCTCTGTCTCAGTGAAGAATAACGCAAAAACAAGACAGAACAAATAAAACAGAAGGCAAGATCCATAAACCCTAGGTAAGCCTGCTTTAAACAAAAAATTTGAAAGCACATCATGGGAATACCTTTAAAAAAAAGGAATACAGAAACAAGTCAGTGCAGTACCAATTAATTTTCATATAATTAATAACAGATAACAGTCAATGCAAACTTTATGAAGAAGGTTCCATAAAACGACTTTTAAATGATGGAATGGCAGGTTTGTCCTCAGATGCCTGTTCATTAGCAGACACTGCAAGAGAAGAAGCTTGCAACTTTAGATGTAACTTTGGCTACAGCATTCCACTAAAACATCTTGCAGACAGAGTGGCCACGTATGGACATGCATATGGGCATACACACTTCACAGTGCTGTGAGAACTTCTGGCTGCGGTTTCAAGTTAAAGTCTTACAGTGTGAATGATGGTGTGTGACTGACCCACCGGGTATTTCATATGGTCATTGGGGCTATGCTACTGGCAAAGCCAGACAAGCTGGAAGACAGAAATAGAAAAATTTCAGATAAACAGAATGCCTGATGTGATATTGTTAAAGAAGTTACAAAAACAATTTCCATAGTACCTAATAAGGTTAATGATAAAGCTGAACTAGAGCTGAGTTGCGTTGGTGAAATAACTAAAGGATGACAAAAATTATCCCAAAAGATATAAAGGATGATGCAGAGAAATAGGCTAAAGAATCTTTAAGGAAGAAAATGAATCAGATAATGATAATATGTAACGTTTACTTCAGCATCTATTTTAAATTTGTAAAGCCGCCCCAAAGTAACTATTTAGCCCCTTGGGCTATTACATACCCAAGGAACAATGTTTTTTAATTTTTTTGTCTTGTAAAAAAAAAAAAAGTAACCAAGGCACCAGGGCCTCATATGTTTTGGGCAGTGGGCCATCTCCCTTTCGTAAGCTCCTTTTTTCACTGTACGTGTGTCCTAAATGTCAAAAGAACGTCCATCAAGGAGAATGACATACATGTAATGTCATGCCTGTTCTCCTGGAGCAAGATAAATGCAGCTTATATCTAACCTGCAGACTGTGTGCTGTGATAATGGTGTTGAGGTTTCCTGAGAATAACCAGGTGAAGGTGTATCATGGCCCTTCAAAGTGAAGCCCAACTGTGCTAAATGGCTGTTGAAATGGGCACTGAATAGAACACACTGTTAGCCAAATCTATGATAACAGAATCCGTACCAGTTAATGAGTAGGCGTCAGTAAATTTGATGATGTCGGGAACTAGAAATACAGGTTTATCTGGTATGAACACAACCTCAAGGTTTTAGTAATCCAGTGTGAGAAGTCATTCATTCTCTCCAGGTTTAAAAAGGCAAAATTCAGCTGTTCAAAGTATAACTGGAGATAATGACTTCTTTCTAAAAGGTTATTTACTACAGTTTTCAATTCTTGAAGGCCCTTTTTAATTTACACTGGGTCACATTAACTAACATTACAAAGTGGTAAGGACCGCAGAGTCAAATTTTGTAAAGCCAATTTGGAAGTGGTGAAGTTTTAATTTAATTAATTGGGTCAGAGCTTTCCTCATGACCATGGGTATTTTTGGAGAATGGGTGCTATGACCTTCAGTCAAAGGCAGACTTTTCATTTTTCACATGAAGTATACTCCTTTCTCCTTTATATCATTTCAGCAATTCCCCTAAGATCAGGAAGTAACTTGCTTTAATTTATTGAGATCCCAGGTATAACTGTAACTTGAAACCAAATTACATGAGAATTGCACGAAAGGTCGCATACCACTGCATTACAGATAATGGGTAACAATCTGGAATTATTTTTAGAGACTCAAAGTCCAAAGAGTGACCTTTAATTTTTTTTATTTAATTCTTTCTGTGTATTTTGAATTTCCAATTACGTCAAATTCTGTACCATTTCAATGCTTTTTTCCTTTTGTTCTTTTGCTCAAGCCCTTACCTGTTTTATATTTTAGGTCACTATAAAAACATCAGAGGAATGAATGTTCAGTCTCTAAAGCATGGTACCCATTAAACTTTCCCTTCAGAGGGGCTCAAAGCAGTGCTATCAGGATTAGAGGCCTCGCCTATGAAATGATTGCTATATAGGACTTAAGGACCTGAGTCCAGTCTGAGTTCATCCCTTTGCTGTGCCACTGACAGGCTATAACTGTTGTCCCCACTATCCAGGGGGTTAGGATCTTTGTTGCAGTAGATGCAGAGCCAGCAGCAGCAGAGGTACTTAAGGGTCCTGGTGAGCTCCCTGGTACTAGGAGAGTGAACTGGGCCCGTCGATTGTCGATTGGCTGCTTTCCCCAATTTCTTCTCTTTCTCTCTGAAATAACTTCTCTTTAAGACAGTGGTTCTCAACCTGTGGGTCGTGACCCCTTTGCGGGTCGAACGACCCTTTCACAAGGGTCACCTAAGACCATCGGAAAATACATATATAATTAAATATTGTTTTGTGATTAATCACTATGCTTTAATTATGTTCAATTTGTAACAATGAAATTGGGGGTCACCACAACATGAGGAACTGTATTAAAGGGTCGCAGCATTAGGAAGGTTGAGAACCACTGCTTTAAGATGTGACCATCAAATAGGCACACCTTATTCATACCATACAATCTTTCTTTTTGCCATTCAGACTCCCCTCCTACTATCAGGGCAACCCCAGTCTCTGTCACAGCCTACCTCTAAGGCAGTGGTTCTCAACTTTCTGGCCCTTTAAATACAGTTCCTCATGTTGTGACCCAACCATAAAACTATTTTTGTTGCTACTTCATAACTGTAATGTTGCTACTGTTATGAATCATAATGTAAATATCTGATATGCAGGATGGTCTTAGGCAACACCTGTGAAAGGGTCGTTCGACCTCCAAAGGGGTCGGGACCCACAGGTTGAGAACCGCTGCTCTAAGGGAAGACAGGATCCAACATAGACATCTGCCCAAGGTCTTTTAACAAGTATGCCATTCTAATAGTACTACTCCCAAAGGTAGATCCGACCTTGCCACAGAGGCAGTCATCATCAGCTTGCACTGCACTTCGTCCCAAGTGGTTCCAACAATGGTACAGACAACAGATGGCCCTGGTTCTCATCACAGTTCCTTCCAAGTGACCCAGACCTGGCACATGCAGCAGCCTACCTTTGCTGAAATACCACCCCTACCCAAGTAGCTCTAGGCCCTGCACAATCTGCAGCTGGCCTCAGCCACAGCAGGGCCACTCTAAAGAGGCTTCAGAGCTGGCATATTTGGAAACTGGCTTTGTCTTACAGGAATACCACACCCAAGTTACCTCACAAATGACACATTGAGTGGGGGGACTCAGCCAGCACCCATCAAAGTGACTCCTGCTCCATGGGGCCAACCCCTGTACACAATTATCCAAACCAGTCATGACAAGTTTTAGGGGCTAGTCAGCATGAGAAAAAATCCCACCCACGGTAGTACCTACACCAATCCCCACCAAACTAGACAGAAGGGCACACAGAACCCACACAGAAGACACCTGTGGAATAACTGATTCTGGTGACCAATGGGGATTGTGCCATATAACATTTTCAACACAAAACCACTCTTAAAAAGGGAGACATAATTGATCTACATTATACACTGAAACAACAGAAAGATAAGCGAAATGAGACAATGGAATACTTTCCAAATTAAAGAAAAGGACAAAAATCCCAGAAAATGAACTAAATGAAGTAGAAACAAGCAATCTACTAGATCAGGGGTGGGCAAACTTTTTGACTCGAGGACCACAATGGATTCTTAAACTGGACCCGAGGGCCGGAACAAAAGCATGGATGGAGTGTTTGTGTGAACTAATATAAATTCAAAGTAAACATCATTACATAAAAGGGTACGGTCTTTTTTTTTTTTTAGTTTTATTCATTTCAAACGGGCCGGATCCGGCCCGCGGGCTGTAGTTTGCCCACAGCTGTACTAGATAAAGAATCCAAAAGCAATGGCTATAAAACTACTCAACAAAATTATGGTAGATAGATGAACTCAGTGGAAATGCTCACAAAGAGATAAAACACACACACACACACACAAGAAAATATTGAAAAATACAATATCTAAAATAAAAAGAATACACTAGGGGAATTAACAGCAGATTAGATGATGCAGAAAAACAAATCAGCAATCTGGAAGACAAAATAGTAGAAATCACACAATCGGAAGAGTAAAAAAGTAAAAAGAATGTTAAGGAACAAGGATAGTTTAAGAGACCTTTAAAACAACATCAAGCATACTAACATTTGCATTACAGGGGTTTCAGAAGGAGAAGGGAGAAAGAGACTGAATCTATATGAAGAAATATTGGCTGAAAAATCCCTAATCTGGTAAAGAAAACTGACATTTATGTCAGGAGGCAAAGAGATTTTTAAACAAGAGAAACCCAAAAAGACTCATAACAAGACACAACATGATTAAAATGCTAAAAGTCTGAATAAAAACAATCTCTCCCTGGTCCGTGTGGCTCAACTGGTTGAGTGTCATCCTGTGCACTGAAAGGTTGGTGGTTCAATTATCAGTCAGGGCACATACCCAGGCTGCAGGTTCAATCCCAGGTCAGGGTGTGTACGGGAGGCAACCGATGGATGTTTCTCACATCGATGCTTCACTCTCTGTGTCCCTTCCCCTTTCCCCTCTCACTAAAAAAAAACCAAAAAAAAAAAAACAATAAAAAAAACAAAACAGAATCTCCTTTCTTTTCAACAAGGCTTTGCTGCCAGAACAGTGTTGTGAGAACCACTGCTAAATCTAAGCCAAAATTAGAAAGAGCCCTAACTGGTTTGACTCAGTGTCCACCTGCGGACTGAAGGATCACTGGTTTGATTCCAGTCAAGGGCACATGCCAGTAGGGGGCGTGCAGGAGGCAGCCAATCAATGATTCCCATCATTGATATTTCTATCTCTTTCTCCCTCTCCCTTCCTGAAATCAATTTATATATTATATATACATACATATATATGTATGTGTATATACACACACACATATATATATATATATATATATATATATACACATATATTTTTTTTTAAGTAAAAAACAAATTGGAAAGAAAAAAACTCATGTCAGCATCATCAGCATTAGACACGTTGATTTGGGTAAGTCTACCACTACTGACCATCTGATGTACAAATTTGGTGGGATGGACAAAAAAATCTGAGAAGGAGGCTGCTGAAACGGGTAAAGATTCTGTCAAGTATGCCCGAGTCTTGGATAAGCTGAAAGCTGAACGTGAATGTGGTATCACCACTAATATCTCCCTGTGGAAATTCGAGACCAGCAAGTATTATGTGACCATCATGGATGCCCCAGGACACAGAGACTTCATCAAAAGCATGATTACAGGCACATCTCAGGCTGACTGTGCTGTTCTGATTGTTGCTGCTGGGTTGGTGAACTTGAAGGACATAACTTCAAAAATTGGCAGACAGGTGAGCATGCCCTTCTGACTTACACGCTAGGTGTGAAGCAACTAAGTGTTGGTGTTAACAAAATGAATTAAACCGGGCAGCCCTATAGTCAGAAGAGATACAAGGAAATCATTAAGGAAGTCAGCATCTATATCAGTGGTTCTCAACCTTGGCTGCACATTAGAATCACCTGGGAATCTTTTTAAAATCCTGATTTCTGGGCCTCATCCTCCGGAAATTCTGTTTCTTTGTTACTAATGTTGTCGCCACACCCCATAACAAAGAAACAGAATTTCCAGAGGATGAGGCTCGGAAATCAGGATTTTAAAACGATTCCCAGGTGATTCCAATGTGCAGCCAAGGTTGAGAACCACTGATCTACATCAATACAGTGGAAAACAACCCCAACAAAGTAGCATTTGTGCCAATTTCTGATTGGAATGGTAACATCATGCTGGAGCCAGGTGCTAACAGGCCTTGGTTCAGGCTATGGGGAGTCACCCATAAAGATGGCAATGCCAGTGGAACCACACTACTTGAAGCCCTGGATTGCATCCTACCACCAACTTGTCCAACTGACAAGCCCCTGCATCTACCGCTCCAGAATATCTACAAAGTTGTTGGTATCAGTACTGTCTCTGAGGGCCAAGTGGAGACTGGCGTTCTCAAACCTGGCACAGTGGTCACCTTTGCTCCAGTGAACACTATAACTCAGGGGTCCTCAAACTACGGCCCACGGGACACATGCGGCCCACCGAAAACATTTATCCGGCCCACCGGGAGTTTTTGCCTCCGCTGCCTGTTGCTTAGCAGCCAACTTGTCCCGGGCCCACAGTGCGCATGTGTGGAATGTGCGCTGCACTCTCCGACTCCCCTCCTTCTCTCTGTCTCTCGACTCCTCCTCTGTCTCCAGTGTGATCAGACGAGTCACGAGCTTGCCTGTGCAGAGCCTGCTGCTGCCTGAGGGCCGAGGTAAGAACAAGTTAGGATTTTTTTTTTTTTGAAGTTAAGGAGGTCTATTTTTTTTTTTTTTTATTTTGCAGTTAGTAGGGCCTTTTTTTTTGAAGTTAGGAGAGCCTTTTTTTTTGAAGTTTTGTTTTTTTACTTCAAAATAAGATATGTGCAGTGTGCATAGGAATTTCTTCATAGTTTTTTTTTAAACTAGGTCCGGCCCTCCAACGGTCTGAGGGACAGTGAACTGGCCCCCTGTTTAAAAAGTTTGAGGACCCCTGCTATAACTGGTCTGTTGAAATGCACCATAAAACTGAGCAAAGCTCTTCCGGGGGACAATGTGGACTTCAATGTCAAGAATGTTTCTGTCACAGATGTTCACTGCAGCAATGTGGCTGGTGACAGAAAAACTGCCCACGAATGGAGCAGCTGGTTTCCAGCTCAGGTGATTATCCTGAACCATCCAGGCCAACTCAGTGCTGGGTATGCACCTGTGCAGGACTGTCACACAGCTCACATTGCTTGCAAATTTGCTCACCTGCAAAAGACGAATCATCGTTCTGGAAAAAGCTGGAAGATGGCCCAATGTTTTTGAAATCTGGTGATGCTGCCGTCGTGGATATGGTTCCTGGCAAGGCCATGTGTGTTGAGAGATTCTCTGACTATCCTCCTCTGGGCCATTTTGCTGTTCATGACATGAGACAGACAGTTGCTGTGGGTGTCAGAAAAGCAGTACACAAGAAAGGAGCTGGGCTCTAACCGGTTTGGCACAGTGGATAGAGTGTCGGCCTGCGGACTGGAGGGTCCCAGGTTCGATTCCGGTTAAGGGCATGTACCTTGGTTGCAGGCACATCCCCAGTAGGGGGTGTGCAGGAGGCACCTGATAAATGTTTCTCTCTCATCGATGTTTCTAACTCTCTATCCTTCTCCCTTTCTCTCTGTAAAAAATCAATAAAATATATTTTTTTAAAAAAAGAAAGAAGGCAGCTGGAACTGGCAATCACAAAGACTGCCTTGAGGTTTCACAAGGCTAAATAAATATTATCCCCAATAACCTGCCACCTAGTCTTAATCGGTGGTGGAAGCACAGTCTCAGAACTGTTTGTCTCCATTGGCCATTTAAGATTAAAGTAACAGACTGGTTAATGATTACATCCTAAAACACTTCAGAAAGAAAGGAGTGTTTTGTGAAATATTTGGTGTTTTTTTTCCCCCCGTGGCAGTTTTTAAATTTTTAGTTTTGAAAATCAGTACTTTTTGGTGGCAAGAGAAAAGCAGCTAGATATACACAGGTGAACACCCACATGACTATCAGCCAATTTTTCAGGAGAAACTTTGCAGTTCAGAAAATTATAGCATGATATATTTAAAAAGGTAAAAAGAGCCCTAACGAGTTTGGCTCAGTGGATAGAGCATCAGCCTATGGACTGAAGGGTCCCGGGTTCGATTTTGGTCAAGGGCACATGCCCAGGTTGCAGGCTCAATCCCCAGTAGGGGGCGTCAATGATTCTCTCTCATCACTGATGTTTCTTATCTCTCTCTCCCTCTCTGAAATAAAAAAAATATATATATGTTTTAACAAAAAGGTAAAAGGAAAAAAACCTACAATCAAGCATACTCCACCCAATAAGGTTATCATTCAGAATTAAAAGAGAGAAAACAATTTCCCAGTCAGAAAAATAAATCTCACTAGTAAAAGTAAATAAACATTTAATAAAAGTAGATCAACTAACTGTAAAACTACTATGATAGTTAAAGACAACAGTAGTAAAATCAGGATTATATAAAATAAATAAGAAAGAAACAACAGACAAAAACATAAAATATGCCATCATAAATGTTTTATGTAGAGAGTGTGTAATAAGTATAGTATTTTTAGAATGATTCAACTGAGGCAGCCATTAACTTAAAATGGACAACTTTAAACATAAGTTGTTATAAATGAAGCTCATAGTAACCACAACCAAAAAAATATGATACAAAAAAATTTAAAGAGAAAGGTATCCAAATATAACAGTAAAGAAACTTATCAATACCCAAGATAAAAAGGCCAAAAATGAAATACAAAATACAACAACAAAATAACAATTAATACAATGGCAATAAGTACATGTGCCTATCAATAATTACTTTAAATGGAAACTGAACAAAATGCTCCAATAAAGATTTAGGGCAGTGGTTGGCAAACAGCGGCTCGCGAGCCACACGTGGCTCTTTGGCCCCTTGAGTGTGGCTCTTCCACAAAATACCACGTGCGGGTGCGTATGTATAATGCGACTGAAACTTCGTGGCCCATGCGCAGAAGTTGGGTGACTAAAGGGATAGTAAAAAACAAGACACATTCATAAGCTGCCTACAAAGACTAACTTCAGATATAAAGACATAGACTAAAATGCAGGATGGAAAAAGGTATGTCATACAAATGAAAATGAAAAGAGAGCTAAGGTAGCAAGACAAAAAAAGACTTTAAAATTAAAACCATAACAAGAGACAAAAGACATTACATAAAAAGATCAATCAAACAGGATGATATAACACTGTACAAATCTCTGCACCCAAAATAATAGCACCTAAATATAAAGCAAACATTAATAGATATAATGGAAGATATAAGTACTATAATAATAACAGGAGGGGACTTCAATACCCCACTTCGATCAATGGATAGATCCTTCAGACACAAAAACAAAAACAAAAAAGTTGGCTCAAAATGACATTTTATACAGGTGACTTAATAGATACTGCAGAATATTCTACAGACAGCAGAACACACATTCAACTCTAATACACATGAAACATTCTACAAATTAGATCACGTTAGTTCACAGAAATAGTCTCAATAAATTTAAGAAAACTAAAAGCATATCAAACATCTTTTCTGACCATACATTATAAAATTAGAAATCAATTACAAGAAAAAAAAACAACTAGAAAAAGCACAAATATGTGAAGGCAAAACAACATGCTACTAAGAATATATCAAAATATATCTTAAAACAAATGGAAATAAAGCTACAATGTTCCAAAATCTATGAGACAAAGCTAATGTAGTTCTAAGAGGCAAGTTGATAGTTACACAGGCCCACATAAACAAGGAAAATCTCAAATAAACAATCTAAACAACAGGGAATTACAAAAATAACAACTAAAGCCCAGTGTAGTGGGAAGAAGAAAACTAAAGATCAGAGCAGAAATCAAGACAAAAAAAAAATGAAACTAAGAGCTGGTTCTTTGAAAAGATAAACAAAAATGTTAAACCCTTAGTGGGATTTATCTAAAGACAGAGATCAAGAGAGACAGAGAGAAAAAGAGACAGGGTCCCCAAAATTCCAATTCGAAATGGAAGAGAAGTTACAACCAACATTAACAGAAACACAAAGTGTGTACAATGAACACAAAGTGTGTACCAACAAATGGGACAACCTAAAAGAAAAAGATAAATTCTTAGAAACATACAATTCCCCAAAAAAGAATCAGAATGACACAGACAATCTGAATGAACTGCTTACTGGAAACAATATTGAATCTGTAATAACAATTTAAAAAAAAAAAAAAAAAAAAAAACTCCTCCAATGAATTCTACCAAACACTAAAGGAATACCTATACTTCTTTAACTATTTCAAAAAAGTGAAAACAAAAAATTCAGTTGAATTCATTCTACAAAGACAGCAATACCCTGACATCAAAACCAAAGACACTACAAAAAAATCCACACAAATATTACAAACCAATATGCCTGAGGAACATAGATGCAAAATTCCTCAACACAATATAACCACACTGGATTTAACAATACATAAAAATATCCCTAGCCCTAACCGGTTCGGCTCAGTGGATAGAGCATCGGCCTGCGGACTAAAAGGTTCCAGGTTCAATTCCAGTCAAGGGCATGTACCTTGGTTGCGGGCACATCCCCAGTAGGAGGTGTGTAGGAGGCAGCTGATCAGTGTGTCTCTCACATCGATGTTTCTAACTCTCTAGCCCTCTCCCTTCCTCTCTGTAAAAAATCAATAAAATATATATATATATATATATTTTAAAAATATCCCTAGCCAGTTTGGCTCAGTGGATAGAATTGGCCTGCAGACTTTAGGGTCCCAGGTTCAATTCCAGTCAGGGGCACATACCTCGGTTGCAGGCTCAATCCCTGGCCCTAGTTGGGGCACATGCAAGTGGCAATGAATCAATGTGTCTCTCTCACATCGATGTTTCTCTCTCTCTCTTCCTTTCTTTCTAAAATCAATAAAATCATTTCTTTAAATTAAAAACTATAATACTGCAGACCATCAAAATCCTCCAAATCTTTTTCTGATAAAACAGACAAGATGCATTCTAATATATTTTACTCTGAAGATATTTATATGAGTGCCATATTATAATTCATGTGGGGTTTCTAATTAAACCCCTAACCTGAAATGAACTAGAAATTCCAAAGATTTCCATGTTTTGAGGTATTTTCCTAATATCAATGAATATACTAGAAATGCAATTGCTTTTCCGCACATCTATTAAAATAGGAATTCATTTGCTTTAGAATTCGTATTGTGGCAGCATAGTAAGAAGCTAGGAAAATTCCTGGGCAAGTAGAATAGGGAAACTGACACAAGAAAATTAAACAAGGCCAAACAACCAGCTTGTGAATCGCAAGACCTTATCTTCCCCAACAAAGGACACCTGAAAGCTTATGGGTTCTACCTCCCTGTCCTAACCAGAGAACACATAGCTTAAATAACCCTGGCCAGGGAGATAGAGGACAAAGACCCAATCAATGCCATTTGTACCAGCTAAACCCAAGGACAAATGAAGTCAGGAGAACAAATAACAACAACCCCATTAAAGTTAGGCAGACCCAAAATAAAAAGTAAAACAGACCAAAGAATAATCCCAAACTTTCCTATACAGTCATTTTGATGCATCAGTATATTAAAATATACATGGAAAGCAGATGAATATTTTGCTGAAACCCTCCCCTAAGATTCTCACCTGCAGCAAAGAAAACATTTTAAAAAGACAAAGACCCAGTGTGGGCTCACTCGAGAGCATGCCCATGCCCCTTCTCTGGCATGAACTTTTCATTTCCCCCTAAACTCCAAGGTTCCCCACAAGACTTGCAACCAGGGGAGCTCACCCCCTGATCCCGTCTCAAGGCCTTCTTTTCTCTGACTTCCCAGTAGGCTAAGGCAGCCCCACCCTGGCTCACTTCTCTCCTATAATGTTTCTAGACAGCCAAGGCAGAGCACCGCCTCGCCTTTCTCCTGTTGCTTCTGCTACCCTAAGCCCTTCCTTTGTTTCGCTGTCCCCAGCTTTAATAAACATCCTCTCAAAATCACCTGGACTCATATTGTGAAATCTTTCCTGCACAAAGTCAAGAACCCACACACTACCGGCCAGCCTCAGACGCAGAACCACTCCGGGCCTGCCCCTATCCGTAACCATATGACCTTTTAATTGCCAAACTTCTCTAGAGATAGAAACATACAAATGATGACCAAAAATGGAAAAAGCACCTGAGACACCCATCTCCCATCTTTTGGTTTTCTTGCCTAAAGAGAAACAAAATTCCATTAATTACAGAATTTTCTTGCCTTACATTGTGTCTCTCAATTAACTTACCTATTAAAAACCCAAGCGCTAAGGTAAGCTAGAAAAGAACTGTAATATTCAATGGAGAAAAAATATCCAAAGAAAAGAAACCTAATGTCGGAATCCAAATACAGCAGGCTGCTTCCCTAGAATTCAAAAGAAAAGGCCACGTTAAGAAAATTGAACGTCAGTGTGAACGGAAAGGAAAAGGGGCTCCGTAATAAATCTGACAAAGCTCAGCGAGGGAAACTCACCTCACAGGGCGATCTAATCACAGATTCCTAACTGCGAAGGTCAGGGGGGTCATCCAGCCTCTGGCCTCATATCCCTACCACAATGCTTATTTACCTTAAGCAAGCCCAGTCCATTGTTCTAAACACACCTTTGAAATTCGAGAAAGTCGTCTGTCTTCTTCAAACCGCAAAGGAGCACATAATTTTGATCACTGTCCTTTAACCCAGCCCTGGCCTTGCCATCTTTCACCTTCATCTAATCGTCTCTGTTTCCTCTTTAACTCCAAAGGTTTTAAAAGAACTGCAAACTGAAAATGTTCTCAGGAGCATTTCTCAGTCATTTTGTTATCAGAACAGGGACCTGGCTTTGAGCAGGTCTGCACAGGGCTGGCTGGTACTGTGTGTGGGTTCTTGACTTTGTGCAGAAAAGATTTCACATTATGAGTCCGCGTGGTTTATAGAGAATGTTTATTAAAGCTGGGGGGGAGGGGAGGGGGGAGGGATGGAAGATATATGTAATACTATCAACAATAAAAAATACATTTAAAAATGAAAAAATCAAGCTGGGGACAGTGAAACAAGGAAGGGCCTAGGAAAGAAGTAACAGGAGAGGGACTAGGTGGGGAAATGAGCCTAGGCCGGCTGCTTTGGCTCGCTAAGTCAGAGAAAAGGGGGCCTTGGGTCAGATGATTAGCCGGGGACCAGCTGCCTGACACCCTTAGAATTTGGGAGAAGGGGGAAGGGACAGGCCTGGACATGTGTGCTCCTGGGAGGGAGCGCTGCATGCTAGGTCCTTGGTGTTTAAAGGCTGGGAGTTTGGGGGAAGTCTTAGTGGAGGATCAATAGACTATTCATCATCTTTATGTTGGTGTGCCAAAATGAGATGTATTCCCTTAACTTCATCTATCCCTGGATGTCTGCTGTCTATCTCCCTGAGTAGGGGGTGATTTAAGCTATTTATCCTCCGGATGGGGAGAACTGAAAACCATTTACTCTCATGTCCTTGGTTTAGGGAAGATAGGATTTACTAGATGACTACAAACTGCTTAACTATCTGTCTCAGTTTCCCTATTCTGTTTGCCCTGGTTTACTAGCCTGTCTTATTTTGAGATCTTGCTTCAAGGCCTATCCTGTATTTAGACCAAATAAATTCTAATAAACTCCTTTTAAATTTTCCTACAAATTTGGGCTTTTTTATGTCAACACCAGATTTGGAGCTTAGACAACCCCAGTTGAGACAAAACCCCTAGCGTTGGTCAGTCCGTGGAAAGGGGGACGGAGGGGGGTGGGGGGGGGGGAGACACCTGAGCAGCCCCAGGACTGAACTCTCAGAGCTCCACACACCCTCCCCTCTTGTAAACATGGAACTGCTCCCACCCTCAGGCATCCATTCTCACAGTGAAGAAACTCAGAGCCTGATTTAGTTTAAGGTTCTAACCCAAATAGCCCCCAATTTCATGAACCATTTGTCCATGGGATAAAACACCTGATCTTCACACCTTCTCAGTGTACACAAACTACAATCTGAATGCAAAACAACAACAAAATCTAAAAGTGCCTAAGCCTAAAAAGCCATAACTACAACCTCAGAAAGGGCATCATCACCGCCACCCTACCCCAACCCTCCCTGTGGTGCTCCCCATCCCCACCCCGCCTCGCACCCCCAGCTTTCCAGGGCTTCCTGGCTTTTCTCGAGAATCTAACTTGAACAATTCCGCTTTGCAAGACTAAGCCCTGGAATTATATATTAAAATTCAGAGAATAACACACACATCAGAAACTTACTATGCATGCTCTACAAAAATAGAATGTAATACTGCAAATATTTTATGTTTTCTGAGTTCACAGCCTTCCTGCCTGTTTGGAACTATTTTATACTGTCTTCCAAGCTCTAGTGATTAAATGCATTTTTACTCTTGTTGAAAACAAATAATACTTAAATTAATAAATGTTTTCAAGTGACAAACCCAGGGGAGGAGCAGTGATGCCAAGAGAGAACAACCAGGAAACAACCATGACGTCCCTCCCATAGGACGTCTGGGCCCAGGAAAGGGGCTGGGGAAAGACCAAGGAGGAGTTCATCCACGTCTTCCAGGTGGTTATTGTCGGCTTTCCCCTCAGGTAACGTAGCCACAACCAATCTAAATCGTTACACACACACACACACACACACACACACACATTTTTTGAAAAGTCAAACTGTGACTCCAAGACGGACACTTGGCTTTGGGAATTTACTAGTAAGGAGGGATTTGGAAATTTAGAGATGTATACCGCTCCTAGGAAGAGCCACTCGGGGGAACAGAATCTTGGATTTGAGAACTGCTTTCCAAACAGTTCGAAAACTCAGGAAAAAACGGAACCCCAGAGGTTACAGGAGGACCACGGCTCCTCCCACTCGTGAATCCGGGCAGCCAGGGCGGAGCTGCGCCCAGCGCGGTCTCGCGTCCGCAGACTTCAGGCTTGACCCCGGGGGAGCCGGGTCTTGCCCCGGATGGTTCCAGGGGCCCCTGGTCCCCGTCCCGGACTCCCGGCCACGCACACTCACCATTTCCCAGCTTCTGGGGTCCCCTGGCGCGGTCCTTTCCGCTCCCGCGGCGGGTGCAACTCACAGCAGGACCGACACCGCAGCAGAGATACCTGCCCGGTTCAGCGCAGGTGAGACACGACCCCGGTCAGCCACGCAGGCCCCCGGGTTTGCTGAGAGCGGCCCCGCCCACCTGCCCCGCGCCGCCCCTGATAGGGCAGTTCGCGAGGACCCGCCTCCCTCCCTCCTGAATGACAACCGAGGGAACAGCTCAGGTGGTTGAGCAGAACCAGCTTCCGCTGGTGGGCGGGACCATCCTCCAGGGACGTTTGCCTTTTCTTTTTTTTTTTCTTTTTTTAACGCAGCATACAAACTTATTTAACAAAAGTAAAAGGTAAAGTCAAACAGGCACTAATATTAGGAGAAAAAGCAACTAGAAGGAATTTTATGTTAAACACCTTACAGTAACCTGCTCCCAATTGCATTAACTGATCTGTTGCTGTGACGACACAGCTCATGCCCATGAATGGATGAACGATTTGAACACTTTTTCAAATAGCCACTGAATACTAGCATATGTACATATATATTAAATTGGAGGGGGGGGGATGTAATTGACGGTCCCCCGATATACTGAATTTCAGAGAGCAGGAGCCCTGCTCAATGTGAACATCCGGGACAACCAGGGAGACGCCATCCTGGGCACCTGTGAGCTCTGCCAGTGCTCTCAGCACATGAAGGAGGGGCAGTGAGAGCAACAAGCTGCTGCAGGAGTTTGAGAAGAACGGCAAGACCCCCCTGCACACCCTCTGCTTCTACTGAATGACCCCGGGTCTTCCCAAAGACACCTTCTTGCCCTTACTCTTGTTAATACTCTTTCCTTCTTAACCCTTGTTTTTTTTTGGGGGGGGGGGGGGAGTGTGGGAGTGGGGGGAGAGTTTTGTTGTTGTTGTTGCTTATCCTCACCCAAGGAAATGTTCGTTATTTTTTAAAAATATGTTTTTATTGATTTTAGAGAGGAAGGGAAAGGGAGAGAGAGAAACTTCAGTGATGAGAGAGAATCATTGATCGGCTGCCTCCTGCATACTCCCTACTGGGGGTCAAGCCCGCAACCCAGGCATGTGCCCTTGACCGAATTTAACCCAGGACCCACAGGCTGACGCTCTATCCACTGAGCCAAACCAGTTAGAGAGAAATGTTCGCTATTGATTTTAGAGAGATTAGAGAGAGAGGAAGGGAGAGGGAGAGAGAGAAACATCAATGTGGGATTGTGGTGATCTAGCAGAATGTGCCCATCACGTAGATTCTACATCTGCTGTGTCACCCTCTCGGCTCACAGCCCCCTAGTGTTGCCTCAAAGACATTTTGCAGAGTGAGATGTGCTTGGATTTCTAAAAACGTTTCCAAGTAAGCAGGACAAAGTAGGATTGAATTAATAACCAAAAAGCTGGAAATGGGCCGTGGAGGCGATGGAAGGACATGATGCACGTGGCTGAGGACGTCCCCAGGCGGAGTCCACTGGGAGGCACCTCTAAGATTCAGAGCCACAGCGCGTCCAGAGATCTGCCCAAGGAGCTGCTTAAACTCCAGGACAGGTTCTGGCAGCGGCTCACACCTGGTGATGTGCATGAGATGAGCGCAGTGGCGTCTTGGTGGTTGTTTTCTCAATTAAGACAGGGCAAGAAAGGCCTTTTGGCCCTAGCTGGTTTGGCTCAGTGGATAGAGCATCGGCCTGCGGACTGAAGGGTCCCAGGTTCGATTCCAGTCAAGGGCACATGCCTGGGTTGCAGGCTCGATCCCCAGTGAGGGGTGTGCAGGAGGCAGCCGATCAATGATTCTCTCTCATCATTGATGCTTCTCTCTCTATATCCCTCTCCCTTCTTCTCTAAAATTAATATATATATATTTTAAAAGGCCTTTTGGCCTGTGTCCTTCTTCCCCAGTTATTCGATTCCTCTTAACAAGGATCCCACAGTGGTGGGAAGAATTAAACATACAAAATCAAGTTTTAGCAGAGTTTAACATTCTCCTAGTATAGAAAAGTCAATGTGTCATCCCATTAAATATATATATGTAATATATATAATTAAATATACATATATGAAATATTTTAAGTTACTTGTGAGCTTTCACCAATGTATACGACCACCAAAAGATAAGAAACAAAGAACACTTGAATAAAACCCCTTCTATATGTAAGCTTACATCATTTCTTTAAAATTTACTTACTCTGCATAAAAACTTGTAGCTATTTTGTGTCCCAAAATTGTTAGAGAGTGGAAGGGAGGGGGAGAGACAGAGAGAGAGAAAAACAATCGATGTGAGAGAGATACATCGATTGTTTGCCTCCTGCATGCACCTTAACCGGGGCCAGGGATAGAGCTTACAACAGAGGTATGTGTCCTTGACCAGAATCCAACTCAGGACCTCTCCATCTGCGGGCCGATGCTCTATCCACTGAGCCAAAACATATTTTGTGCTAGGGCCTCATACCTCCTTTATACTAAATTAGGCTATTACTGAAAATAATTCACTTTCTACAGCGCACCTCAATTATTCCTTGGATGGCTGCCTCTAAACATCCACAGCTCTTTTTGGTATTTCTGTGTGGGAAATACAGTAGACTTGCACAGGTAGCACCCTACTCACAGAGTAAACTCAGGATGGGCTAGAATGATGCAGATCAACGTAGGTGTTTCCCAGTATGGGAGGACTCCATGGTTTAACGGTGCATACCTCGGGTCACTGTGTGTGCATGGCAGCAAAATCAAAATGCCAAATACTTTGTCACTTAAAAATGTTAAAGGTAAATGAAAATCATCTGAAATGACATTAAACTTCAAAAGACACCACAAATATCTGTGGCCCAAATCAATAGAAAGTTCAAGTCCCAGACAACAATGTCCAAAGTTATGACTACATAATCTATATACAAAATGTTCAATAATTTAAAAAATGAAGAAAAGTGATGTCTATATTTATCTTTCTGGGGAATCTTTACTGTTAATCACAGGAATGCAGGGTTTTCTGTATTGCTGCAGGGCTTGATCCCCTGTAAGGGGTACACAGGATACAGCTGATTGATGGTCTCCTCTCACATCGATCTTTCTTTTTCTCTCTCTCTCTCTCTCTCTCTCCCTTCCACTCTCTAAAAATCAATAAAAATATTTTTTAGAAAGAATGAAAAAAATTAGTTTCATGACAAAAATTGTAACTATAAAACAAATTTTCGTCAAGGAAAAATACCTGAACATACATGCATGCACATGATAAAATTGTCTCATAATGTGTAATAACCAAATTAAAAATTACAAACTTTACCTGAAATTCCATTATTATAATGGGACATGTTAATGTATCATCGCAGGAAGCACCGAATTTGTTAGCATTCAATGGCTTTAATAATGTTAATAAAATATTTTTCTGAAACAACTACAAAAATGTTCATTTGACCAAAAAAAATGCTCATACTTGTAATCACATGCAATCAAGAGTAACTGAAAACTAAATGAGAGATGACATTCAGCTATAAGTAGCAGAAAACACCCTCAGTTCTTCCTGGCACGAATTCGTGCACTGGACCCCTAGTGTTGACATAATCCAGAGGAAGATGCTTATTCTCACAAGACAGCCACTGCACACGCAGCGGAGAAATAAATTTCCATGTTGGTTTTTACTGCACCACTGTACATGGTGAATCAGAAAAATATGCTCACCAGCACTATTTGTAAAAATATTTTTAAATTGATTTCAGAGAGGAACGGAGAGAGAGAAATATCAATGATGAGAGAGAATCATTGATTGGCTGCCTCCTGCATGCCCCCAATTGGGGATTGAGCCCACAACCCGGGCATGTGCTCTTTGATCCGAATCAAACCCGGGACCTTCAGTCTGCAGGCCGATGCTCTATCCACTAAGCCAAGCCAGCCAGGGCTCACCTGCATTATTAATACCATAAAATTGTTTCCTATACAAATTAGGCCTTATGTTGAATAATCCAGAAAAGAGGGACACCAGGAAATACTCGCAAGCATGGAAGTCTGAAACTGTTTCCTGGTGTACACAGATGGCTTAAAATTAATCCACATTCTTGATTAATTCTAAATTAATCCATGACCTTCTATGTCAGTGTTGGCGAACCTATGACGTGTGTCAGAGGTGACACGTGAACTCATTTTCTTGGTTGATTTTTTGTTAAATGGCATTTAAACATATAAAATAAATATCCAAAATATACATCTTTGTTTTACTATGGTTGCAAATATAAAAAAATTTTTATATGTGACACGGCACCAGAGTTAAGTTAGGGTTTTTCAAAATGCTGACATGACGAGCTCAAAAGGTTTGCCATCACTGTTCTATGTGGATCTTGTGAAGACATCAGAGAAAACCGCACCTCTAAGAAAATGAAAATTAAAGAGTTGGTGGTGGTTTTGAAGATACACTTGAGGGTAAGAAATACAAAAAATCAGCTGGAAGATGATGTTCTCGAAGTTACTATGTATCTGTCTCCCTCTGTATGGTGGTGGTTCCAATATCTGACAGAATGACTTCTTTGCTTCTGTCTCCCAAATCACATACAAATGAGGCTATTGGTATATTTTAACATGGAACCACAGAGAAAATGAATCCTGAAAAATCTTTCTACCACTATCAAAAGAGGGAATAGCTCCAACTGAGATATTTTGTTCTATCACAGAACTCCTCTTTTTTTACAATCCTCATCTGAAGATATGTTTCTATTGATTTGAGAGAGAGAGAGAGAGCGTGAGCTATGAGAGAGAAACATCGACCAGTTGCCTCTTGCCTGGAATCAAACCTGCAATCCTTTTGGTGGACAAAATGGTACTCCAACCAACTGAGACATCCAGCCAGAGCAGGTCTCTCTTCTTAAGTCAACATCTACTTACCATATGTTGGTCAAGAGGGAAATGTGAAAGTTTAACCATAAAAATAAGTCACATAAAACTTTATTCTTTCATAAACTTGACAGACAAAATTTACTCCAACTTTTTATAAAAGTGGGAAAAGTAGGATCTTTTACCTCCCCCCCAAAACAAACAAACACGTATTCAATAAGAAAGGGAGAATATATGTAATAGACCAGGAATATGCAGGAACTGTCACAAGGCCTGCAGGAAAAAA